TCCACCTGAACTAAGGGTCCTGGGATCCCAAGGAAGTTATATCCCACTTGCAATAACCTGTAGACAAGGACTTGCCTTCAGAACCCGGACACAGGAACCCTTTGCCTTAGGTATCTGCTGCCCCACACAAGACAAGGGTTGCAGGTCTGAAACATGAACCAGAGATATAAAGGAGCTCCTGCAGTTACTGCCTGTGTCCAGGTGTGCGGACACAGCAAGAGAATCCCCAGAGATTCTGCCAGGGTTGGAGCTGCTCTAAGGATGCAAAGAAATGCCACCCTAGTTCCTGCTTCAACAGGATGCTACGAGGATTCCTTTGGGCGAGGCTCAACTAATAGTGCCCAGAAGCCGACTGGTGGGGGTGCTATCACTCTGCTCTGGGCACAGGGTGCAGCATACAGGAAGGCAGACCCATTAGGCCTTTGGGGATATGGGAGCCCTCACCAGAAAGTGGACAGCGTTCTGCCTTTGGTTGGACAGAAAACCTTCACACCACTGTCTAGGACCCTTCCCAGTATTCATCCCTGACAAAACCAAGCCTTCACTCCCATCACCCATAAATTAGCTGTCTAAATTCTTCCCGTGCAGGGTACCTTGGGAAGCTCTACCTATCACATTTGGAAGCCCACCTCCAAGGAAGAGCTGAGACTCTCTAAGGGCAGCTTGTTAAGCCCTCTCCACAGCAAAGAACCAGGGCCTCAAGCCACAGAGGCCCAGAGCAAAGAGGTCCCTGGAATACCCTTTTCTTACCAAGGCTGGGCTGCTGGGGCAGAGGTAGGACTGGGGTTGGGAGCAGAAGCCCAGAAGGCAAGGCATTGTGACATCACTCACTGTTGTCAATATGGCAGCAGGACTTGTCTACCCAACAGCTTCCCTGGTACCAAGTTTCCATGGACTCATCAGCTGCTCTGTTCCCACAAAAGGGTAGGCTGAGCTGACCTCAGACCCTTCAGCAGCCCCTAGAAACAATACCCTGTCAGTGACTTTCAGATCAAGCTCCAGGGGGCCTTCCCTGAGAGCAGGAACAGCAGATCAGGAAAAAAGCTACCACCACTGTGCCCACCAAAGGACAAGGCCATTGTATTCTCAGGTGACATCTTCATGTGGGGCTAACACTTCCCTAAAGGGCCACATGCTGGTTCACCTGGCACCAGCCCAGGATGCTGCTCAAGACTATATTAATTCTCCCCCATAAAGGCCAATTCCTCAAAGGCAGCAGGGCCTCTCCTGCAGGCAAAGCAATGGCTAGGGGTTCCTTGGCTTGGGTAAAAGGAGATACAACACATTAGGCATAGTACTTACTTTTGCTTTGGCTTCCTAGGAAAGCATGAAGGAGAAGCAGCAAGGTTAGAGCAGTAGGAAAGACCAGTCACATAAGATAATAGCTCAAGCAACCAAGGACAGTGCCTGGCCATCTAGAGGTTCTTGTGGAAGCAGTGTACAGCAGAGTAAGCGTTCAACAGACCACAACCATCAAAATCCCAGGTGGCCACCAAGTCTATATGCTTAAGGTTACTCCATGATCCCTTATAGCATAGCTCTTGGGGGTGTCCTGTAAGCTGAGCCCAAGCATGTCCTGGGGGCCATATAGGTACCATGACTGGAGCTACCCTCTCTCATCCTGTCCTGGGACAACAAGGAGTCCATCTCCTATACTGGCATTTAGTCCAGAAGGCTAGAGGGGCCTAAAAGATGATAAAAGAAGCCAGGCAGGCAGGGCTGCTACCACAGCACTCCAACAAAAGCAGGACAGGGTCCTCTCATTTTCATTTTTCCATGTGCACAAAAGGACAGGACCTTCAGCCTGACTGCACCCAGGCCTGACAATCTAGGGTCAAATGCTGCCCTGGAGGATACATGGATGCAAGCCCACAGCTATCTGGCAGGAACAGCCTTAAGGCAGGAAGCAATGAGCTTCAACAGATCAACCACACATTCCTACACATGGTTAACCTTTTTTTCCTTGATCCTTATTCAGGCAGCATCAAGAGCTTGCTGCAGGGAGAATGGAGGATGAGGAAGAGTGAGGACATAGAGGAAGTGGCCTGAACAGCCTCTGCTCCACTCCTAGACACTGTCACAATCTAGCCATCAAGACCTCAACCACTCCTGGGGTACAGGCAGCTGAGGCTGCAGACAAGGCCCAGTGAACAGCTGGTCCAGGTGAAGATGCCCAACATAATTTTGTGGGGCCACCCAGTCCATGACCTATACAGGCAGCACTCATTAGAGGCAGTGAAAAGTGTACAGTTTTTGCGGCCAGGCACATCTAAGGTGGGAGGCTTGGGAATACAGGGTCCTTGTGACCTCTGCTGAGACTCCTTGCCAAGAATACTTCTGATTGAAGGACATGACCTGATACAGCTGTACCTACTATAGTGCAAGGGCACAGAGGTCTCCATGCATGGTGAAAATGATTATGTTTTCCAGAAGAGCTGGCTCCTGGGGTTTCTCCACACTTTTCATGACTTCGATGTGCCTCAAGCAATCTGTGCCCAAGATATGCACCCACATCAAAGACTGCCCAGCCTTGGGTTGGGGATTTAGCTCAGTGGCATAAGTGCCTGCCTGGCAAGTGCAAGGTCATGAATTTGATTCCCGGCACCAAAAAAAAAAAATGCCCAGCCTCCAGAGGAAGGGAAATATGTAAGGTGTACAGGAAAACAGTCTGCCAGCCAGCACAACCTGTGCACCCACCTCAGCAGCATTCCCTCTGGGCTTACCTGGCCTGAGTCTGTGGACCAGATGCTGCCCACTAGAACTTTCTATGTGTTTAGCATCCAGCTGTGTTCCTGCCTGACCCGATATTCCAGCCCTGTATGGGAACACTAACCTGTGCTATAGCAGGAAGGGGGTCTCATGTTCCTCCAGACTCAGAGGCTAACACTGTAACTGCCCAAGCCACTGCATCCCAGGTTCAGCAAGCCCCAGAAATCTGACTCAAATGACAAGGCTCATCAGTTCTGTTTCTTTCTCAGCACCAGATACCTGCCTTGATCCACCAGCCCAATGCAGCCATGGAGCCCGCTGGTTAATTCCTACTTTATTAACTCTTCTTGGTATGCTTGACAACACCTATGCTAGCCCTCACACCTAGCTGGAGTCAGGAGTATAACATTTTACATAGGGAGAAAACTAAGACTAAGTACATGACCACAGAAAGTCATCAAGTCAGTGAGGTGAGGGGCTAGAGATGCACAGCATGTTCCAACACCTGTCCTTCACAGGTTTATCTCACTTCCTCCAAATTCCAATAGAATCCTGGTACAGGACAGGGCCCACAAATGATCAATGCCAGCAATCCAGAGGTACTTTCTTTTTGGTATGGTATTGAGGTTTGAACACAGAGCAGTCCCAACTGACCTACAAACCCAATTTGTTTTGTTTTTAAATTTTGGGACAGAGTTTCACTAGGTTGCCAGGCTGGGTTTGAACTTGCAATTCTTCTGCTTCAGCTTTCCAGATTCCTGGTTTACAATCATGTGCCATCATGCCTGGCTTCAGAGGTAAGCCCTGTAGCCTCACTCAGTTTGGCTGGGTCCTGCATCAGGCTCCTCCAGGAAGGGTAGGAAACCATCCAGTACACATCCCAGGCAACAGCACCAGAGGTCCTTTTGCATACACTTCAACTACTACTTTTGACATCTCCCACCCTCAGCATCCTACCAGGTGATGCATCAGTCCCCCGTAACTCATGAGGAAGCAGAAGCCAGTGCTGAACTGGCCACCAAATAGCCTGGGAGGAACCTGCCCTCCCTTGAGATCTCCCTTCTCTTCCAGGCAGATCATGGACTCTACTGCTCCCATGAGACTGGTTCAGGGCCCGGAAAGCCCCTGCAAAGTAGTTCTAGGAGCCTGGCTGGGGCTGAGGTCCTGTGCCAGGCTCTTGGTGAGAAAGCATTTTTCTCAGGTGACACTTGGGGACTCCTGTCACATCAGCCATTTGCCCTTTCAAAGTGTATCAGCTCCATCCCCCATCTCCAGCACTGGATGGACGCCCAAGAGTATCAGAAAGTGCTAGTGCAACAGATCCATCTCCCTCTGCCTCACAAATACTGTCAGTTCAAGAAGCCCCTTAACCTGTAAAACAGACCACCATAAAAGTCCCTTCCGCTGGGAGGGGGGCGTTAACCGGCTGGCAGGCCTTCATTTCAGGAAGCCGCCACACTTGCTCTTCTCCTTTCTGCTTAGAACCTCTAAAATGCACTCATTTCTTAGCACAAGCTGTCAAGGCTTTTCCCCAGGAGATTCCCGGACCACCTTATTCACGCCCAGAAGAATCTTATTTCGTTTGAACCAGTTCAACACATTCTTCCTTACACTTTCCTGCATTGGTAACCACCTCAGTTCCACGTGGGGTGCACCTGTGTCTGTGCCTACAGTCTGGTAGTCAGTAGTTAATAAACATGTAGGACAAGAAAGTAAAGACTACGGGCCCGAGCGACAGCTGGAGCAGACAAACACTATGCTCTGTAAGAGACGGGAGTCGGCCCCAGCCGACCGCAGGAAGGATTCCAGGCTGGGCTGTTCTGGCGGCCTCGTGTGCGCCAGGCCACACGCCCCACACCCCGGCCCGCCGCCGCCCAGTTATGCTGCCTGAACGGCGCAAAACCCGGTTCCTGGTGTCTCTCCAGCGCGTGCGGCCCTAAGCCGGCGCTGCAGTACTCACACACCAGCCAAGGACGCCACAACCCCGAAGAAGAATCTACAGCGCAGGAGTGCGGAGGAAAGGGCGGGCGCCCGCGCCGCACACGGGAAATAGAGTGGGGCGTACCACGCCCAGCGCCGCGGGGGACGCCGCTTTGAGGTCGCGCCTCTTCGACGTCGACGCTGTCAGCGCAATGCGGTCCATAAACACCAAGACACCAGACCATGGGAAATGACCTTAGAGGCCGCTCTAAAATGGGAGGGTTGGCGCAAGAAGTACAGAATGCGTCCAAAGCCTGTCCAACGCCCCCAACTGTGCGCCAAATAAAGCCAGCCGACCGGGCGGGGCGGGGCCTACAGGCCTTTTGCGCCGCACCGGGACACCACCGCGCAGACGCCTTGGCGCGGGGCGGGGCGAGGCCAGTACGCCTGCGCTGGCCGGGCTAGTGAGACAAAAAGGAGGACCCCCTGGGGGCCCCGCCCTCCAGCTCCGCCCCGAGCGGCCCTAGTGCATGCAGGCGTCAGGTTCCCGCGGCCCCACGACCCCTTGGTCTGCGCTCCTGCTGTCGCCATGTACCCCGTGGATCCCGCAGTCAGCTCGGCCCTGCACCGGGCTCCGCAGTGCGGCCGCCGCCCCCCGCTTGGAGGCCCTGCCGAGGCGCCGCGGCCCCCTGTGCCTGTCCCGGGCTCCGCCGCACGCCCCCAGCCCCTTGCGCCGGTACCGCGGTCCGGCGTGGCGGCAAAGATGGCTTTCCGCAAGGCCTACTCCATCAAGGACAAGCTGCAGGCCATCGAGCGCGTCAAGGGCGGCGAGCGACAAGCCAGCGTGTGCCGCGACTTCGGCGTTCCCGGCGGCACGCTGCGCGGCTGGCTGAAGGACGAGCCTAAGCTGCGCTGGTTCCTGGACCAGCTGGGTGGCGAGGTGGGCACGCAGCGCAAGAAGATGCGACTGGCTAACGAGGAGGAGATCGACCGCGCAGTGTACTCGTGGTTTCTTGCGCTGCATCGGCATGGCGTGCCACTGTCAGGACCACTCATCCAGGCGCAGGCAGAAGCTTTTGCGCGCCAGATCTATGGTCCCGAGTGCACCTTCAAGGCTAGCCATGGCTGGTTCTGGCGCTGGCAGAAGCGCCACGGCATCTCCAGCCAGCGCATCTATGGCGAGGTGGAGCCCCCATTAGCAGGCCCCGTGCCCTGCCCTCCGGTCAAGGCAGAGCCGGCTGAAGCCCCAGGCACTGGCCCCCTGCTGGACCGGGCGCCCGTTGTGCTGTGCCCGGCCGAGGCGGGTTACGGCGACGAGCAGATCTACAACGCCAATGTCACTGGCCTCTACTGGAGGCTGCTTCCGGAGCAGACTGCGCCCTCGGGCGCCGGGGAACCTGGGGCAGGGGGCTGCAGCTGGCGCGCCGACCGAGTGACAGTGCTCTTGGTTGCCAACCTAACTGGCAGTCACAAGCTGAAGCCTCTGGTCATCGGGCAGCTGCCTGACCCGCCCAGTCTGCGCCACCACAACCAAGACAAGTTCCCAGCCTCGTACCGCTATAGCCCCAACGCCTGGCTCAGCCGCCCACTGCTGCGCGGCTGGTTCTTCGAGGAATTCGTTCCAGGCGTCAAGCGCTACCTGCGCCGAAGCTGCCTACAGCAGAAGGCAGTGCTGCTTGTTGCCCATCCGTCGTGCCCCACCTGGGCCACCAGGATGGCCTCTCTGGAGGAGAATGAGGAGACTGCCAGGCGGTGCCGGCCAGAACCCCTCGGGCCACCGGAGGAGCTGCAAACCCCCGATGGCGCTGTGCGGGTGCTCTTCCTATCCAAGGGCAGCAGCCAGACACACATCCCTGCACCTCTGGAACAGGGTGTAGTGGTGGCCTTCAAGCATTTATACAAGAGAGAACTGCTGCGGCTGGCAGTGTCCTGTGCCAGTGGCTCCCCACTGGACTTCATGCGTAGCTTCATGCTCAAAGATATGCTGTATCTGACTGGCCTCTCCTGGGACCTGGTACAGGCAGGCAGCATTGAGCGCTGTTGGCTACTGGGTTTGAGGGCTGCCTTTGAACCTGGGCAGCAGCCAGCCTACCAAGCTGAGGAAGCTGCAGAGCACAGCAGGTTGCTCAGTGACCTCACACATCTGGCAGCACTGGCTTACAAGCACCTGGCACCAGAAGAGGTGGCCGAGTGGCTGCACCTAGATGATGATGGGGGCCTCCCTGATGGCTACAGAGAGGAGGTGGGCCCTGCATCGGCCCCTGCAGCTCCACCATCCCCAGCCAGTCTGCCCTCTAGCATGGGAGGTGGAGAGGAAGAGGAAGAGGCTACTGAGCATGAAGGGGTATTGGTGCCTACTGCAGGGGAGGCCATCTGGGGACTAGAAACAGCTCTTCGGTGGCTAGAGAGCCAGGACCCCAGGGAGGTGGGGCCATTGAGGTTGGTGCAGCTTCGATCACTCATCAGCATGGCCCGGAGGCTGGGAGGGATTGGGCCCTCCCCAGCGGCTCCTGATGATGGTGTGTGACCACGCCAGCCTAGTAACCTTTTCCTGCTGCAATCTCCCAACTTGCCTGGGATGGCCCACCCCATGGGTTCAAAGAACAAGGGTCCCAGCCCAGCTTGGGCTCTGTTGGTAAAGGGTCATCCTGCTCCAACGGTCTATAGTCTCTTGCGGAGGATTGCTGAACGAGAGCCCTGGCGGATCCTTTTCCCCAGGCAGGACACACATGAGGTTCCCTCCCACACTCTGGGCACATGCTCAGCACCTATCCAAGAACAGTTGACTATGTTCCACCCTGGCCCCTGAGGGGCTCACATCTCTTCTTTCCCCAATCTATCATATGCACTGGATGAGATACCAGTTCTGTCTGTAGTGCTGGTGCTACCTGGTCCCATCATCTTAGTAGGGAAGCACACTACTCAGTTTTTTTTTAAACACATTAAATTTGTGTTTAAAGAGTCTTCAGAAGGGCTTAGGAGAATAGGAGAAAAATAGGGTGGTCTTGGCAGCTTTTGCTATTGATCTGGAAACTGCTCTCCAGCCCCCAGCCCAGACTCACCTGTTTACAGTGAAGTGGGGAAGAAGGATGGAGCCCAGTGCTTCTGAGGTTCTGGATGCAGATTTTTGTTCCACTTGGATTGTTAATCCCTTTAGGAAAAATCCTTTCTGAACAGGGGGTTGGCAAAGACCAATGACAGGACAAACTCCAGTTTCCCATCAGCCACAGACTACTATTGCCTCAGTAACTGGAACCAGCCTCCTGATCTTCCTGGGAGCATTGACAGCATTGGGGACAATCCACAGTGCCTTAATCCCATTCCCTCACCCCCCTATTCTTCCATCTCACCTTCCCACATGTACTTTTCCACCTCCTGATACTGCCAAGGGTGTGGTTGAGAAGCTACTTCTGAGTGGCCCCCTTTGAAAGAAGAAGGAAAAGTTTCAAGTGATTGTTCAGCTCTTAACACCATTTTGACCCTCTAGTTTGGTTTTTTTTTTTTTTTTTTTTTTGTCTTTTTCCTTTTTATCGGTACCGGGGATCGAACTCACAACTGCCTGCTTCCAAGGCAGGCGCTTATGCCGCTGAGCTAAATCCCCAGCCCCGACCCTCTAGTTTGGATCCAAAATCTTGTTAGTGGTCTAGGCGCAAGAGATACCCATGTGTCTTGAAGGGCTTGCCACCTTTGTAGAGATACTGCCCCAAGTCCTTGTTTCAGCAGGAGGTTAGGTCTGAGGAGACTGCATACTCCTAATGCTCTTCCCTTATCCTGACCACGGATGTCCTAGTAGTCTGAGTCTTGAAAACATAGAATTGGTGAGTGTGTGGGGCCTGCATGTATGTTCATAGAAGGGAAGGCCTATGCACCATCTTGGTGGTAGGGTGGGGCTGGGGCATCTCCCAAAAGCAATTTCTATATCCAAGACAAACGATTCCTTGGAGAACCTGCTTCCTCTACCTAAATACACATGCATATCTCAAATCTGAGAACTGAGGAAAGGTATGCAAAGTTTGGAAGCCAGAACTGAGGGTCACCTAGCTGGACTCAGGCAGCAGCCTCTATCTGTACCTGCCAAGACCCATTTGGACTCTCCATATAAGCATCTCTGAATCTTCAGAGGCATGGGCAGTCAGGGCTGGCTGAGGGTCTCTGGTCTAAGCATCTGCAACTAGGCTTAAGGGCAGTTATAGCCCCTAGTCAGCCCAGGAGACTCAGAAGTGCAACTCTGAGAAGTGGGTCTTAGCTACGAGTGGACACATATGCAACCTGGATGGCTCTTTGTTACGCCTTTTGGCCTGGCATATCAGAGCTGCTTGACTGCTTTACCTTTACTGAGGTTTCCATCTCATCTATCTTCTCATTTGCCCTTCCCATTGGCCTGGGTTGGAAAGGCTTGAGTCAGTGTCTTAAGAAATGGTGGGCAGGGGTGGGAGTAGGATGTCTCACTTGTCTCCACCTGTCTCATCTCTCTCATCTGGGCATTCAAGGTCTAGGAGGAGGCTCTGGCCTTTCCCTGGCCCCCTAACAGCCTATCTACAAATAAGGCAGATGTTAGCTCATAGCCAGTGGGTTTGTCCCAGCATTTACTGTGCTGGGAAACCCACCAGAAAGCTCAAAAGGTGAGTAGGGCTGGGAGTTTAGGTCAAAAGTAGAGGGGGCTGGGGATTTAGCTCAGCGGCATAAGTGCCTGCCTTGCAAGCAAGCGGTTGTGAATTCGATCCTTGGTACCGATAAAAATGAAAAAGACAAAAAAAAAAAAAAAAAAAGTAGAGCACCTGCCTAGCATGCAGGAGGGGTTGGGTTCAATTCTCCAAGATACAAACAAAAGGTATCATCGTTACAGGTACCCATTGGTATTCCTGTGGTGCCAAGGCAAGGGTTCCAGTGGCTGAGCTGAGCTGTGGAGAAGGCTGCTCTGCCTGGACACTTGGCCCTGCCATGGATCCCTGAGACACTGGGGCCCTACAAATGGTGCACAGATGGCACATGGGAAACTCAGCTCCATTTGTAGCTCTGTTACTGGTGTGCAGCCACCTCATCTCTCTGAGCTCAGCTCAGTGTCTCTGAAGTAATGGGAACGTTCCAGGATTTGTGGATCCCTGTGGTATGGCAAGAACACATTAGGAGGGCTGTACACTCAGGCCTGCATATCCACCTGGCCTGCTACTCACTGCTGTTCCCTTTTGAGCATTCTGGTTTTGGTTTGCCACGTTTAGTTTGGACTAACACAAGTCAGCAAGAAGGCTGAAGTGGCAGTTCCTTTTGGCAGCTGCTGGCCACTTGCCAGGTACAGGTACCATGCTGGAAACTGGATTTCTTATCTTGAAGGATTTCCCCTGATCCCTGCAAAGCATGTGAGGACCTGGGAAAGGTGGGCAGCTGTCCTCACTAGGCAGCTCTGATCCAGGACCTCTGATGAGACAAGGCAGGTTTCCTCTCTTGGAGGGTCATCAGGGCTCTTGGGCTGGGGAAAGGAGAGCATCAGCACAGAAAAAGTCAAGTACACCACTTGTTGAAGCCACCACTAAGCTGCTGTTTTCAGTTGGGAAAAGATGGCTTGCAATGGTCACAGGCAGCCTTTCCCTCCAGAGGTCTGTGTACTTGGAGAGTGGCCACCTGGGCGTCAGCTGGGCTGCGGATAGAAACATGGTAAAAAAGGATGGGGAGCATCCTCTCTAGGGGCCTGAACCCAATACTATGGAATACCCTACGGGAATTGCCTGTGGGGAACCCAGCTGGGGCCTAGCAGAACCTTGCTGAGTTTGCCCAGGAGTGAGGTTTATCCACCACAATAGCATGTTTTCACAAGGACTGTGGGCTTGTGGGTTCATGCTATGTTGAGGGGCCTTCCTCTAACACTCGACCTTGCTCATAGCCAAGTTCAGATGGCCCATGGTACTTATGTAATAAAGGTGGAATATGTCAACTTCACAAACATCCCTCTTTAAGTCTTCTTTTGTAACTCTGGAATACCCCATAGACTGGTGGGAGCCAAAACTGAACAGTATCATTTAAGAGGTTACCATGACCACATTCTATAGTTTCTACCTTGAAAAGCAGTCATTTAATTTTGATTACCTAAAGGTGAACAGAAGGCCTGGAAAACATGATCACAACTCTGCTCCCACCAAAGTTGACCCTCCTGAGTAACCAAGTCTTTGTCCTGGATCATCACCAGCTGGGCCTAGGACTCCATTGCAGCCTGCTCAAGGCCAAGACTGGGCAATAGAGTAGTCTTCTCCTAATCTGACTACCCTGGTCACAGTGAGAAATAGGTATTGGCTCAGTTTCAGCAATTCTGGTAGATAAGCCTTTATATCAGTGTGGATGCAGGCAGGCTGCCTCACACCCTGGGTCCCTAGACCAGGCTTTGTATGCCCTTGAGTGACATCAGGATGCAGGAAAACTGGCAGTCCCTTATCTGTGTAAACTCAGGTGATAGTGACCTGTGGCAAGGGTGGAACTTTTTGCTCCCTGTATTACCTGTGCCCTTACCAGCTTTTTTTTTTGGGGGGGGGGTACCACAGATTGAACTCATGACCTCACACTTAACAGGCAAGCACTTGAACTGCTGAGCTAAATTCCCACTCCCCCTTTTTTCTTATCCGCTTTAAAATATCTTTGAGCCCAACGTCCTGGGATAGAGGGTTTCAGGCTCTTGAACTTACGCTTTTCAGCCTCTGATCAAAAGGTAGCTCCTTGGGGGCCGGGGATTTAGCTCAGCAGTGTGAGCACCTACCTTCAAGTACATGATCGTGAGTTCAATCCCCAGTACCAAAAAAAAAAAAAACCAAAAAAACAAAAAAAAACCTCCTTTAGCATTGTAAAACATCTTTATTTCACAAGTGAGGAAACCAGAATGTAAACTAGACTCAGGCCAGCCCTTCTGATAGGTTTGACTAAGCAGTCATTGAGAGCAGCCATCTAGGAATGGGATACAGGTGGGAAGCTGAGGGAAGGGATCTGGATGGGGGGACTTCAGCTCTAGGGGGAGTAGGGCAGGGTAATGGCAGGTGTGATGGAGGAGTTGTACATGATGAGACATCCTGTTCTGACCCAATAGTGCCATTGTCTCTTGTGTAGATGGGATTAACTTGACTAAACATCACCCAGCTAGCAGATGGCACTACAAAACTGTCCTAAATCACACTAGGACCGCAGAGGGTGGGCATACTGCACAGGTTCAGAAAGCTGCCTCATCTGGAGCCAGGGAGGGTAGGGTGCAGCACCCTGGGGTCTTTATGGCCAAGGAGGCTCAGGAGGTTGTGTGCCAGATGCAGGGATCACAGCTATAGGTAGCCTGCCTGGACCCTCCCCACTCACTGGCTGAGTCCCTGACCTCAATTCTATGGCCTTGCTCCTCTTCTAGTCCTGTGTTCTTAACCTGCTGTTAAATGATATGTTGCAAAGAGTTCAATCCTGCAGAGACCCATGTGGGGCACGGGGCCTAGGACTTCTGACCTAAAGGAGGGTTATATGGTCTATCTGACCATGTACCAGGAGCTTAGGATCTGCAGGAGGAAGGGATGTAGGGGTGTAGTTTTCCATCTGACTAGGGCACACACCCCAAACTTCAACCAGCCTTTCCACTTGCCTAGTACCCACCTGGTACTGCCCTAGTGCTTCAACAGATCTGGCTGACAGAGCTATAGCTTCCTGGGTACAGCATCCTTCTCAGCCCTAGGAAGCCCACAGCATCTGCTTGCTGCTCAACATCTTATAAGTTGCTCCAGCTCCTTGTAGGGGCTAGGCAATGGCCACTGGCCACTGGCTTTATGGAGAGGAAGGGTAATGACCCTAAGGTTGTTCTCAGAGCTGGGATGGGAGCTGCTGGGAAATCCAAAGCTCAGACCAGGTCTGGTTGCTTTTGTAGCCACTAGCTCTGCTCATGTCCTCAAACTGCCCCAAATTGCAGGCACCTGACAACCAACATGACCCATTACAGTGGGCTCTTTAGGGGTTGAGCCACCACCATGATGGGGGGAGGCCTGCATGGGTAGGGCTGCATTTTCCTGCATAAGAGGAAGAAAGAGATTCATGTGGACAGACATAGAGCTGGTCCCTAAGAAAGAGGCAAGAGAGGACTAGAGGAGCATGTACGGCAGTACTTGGCACTTGTGGGCTTTGGCTGAGAAAGGAGCAGGTAGCCTCTTCTGGAAGCTGGGCCCTACTTCCTGCTGAGCTCCTTGGCCCGGCAAGTAGCGGCCTCCACAGCACTCATGGCAGCTGCTCGCAGCCCACCCTGCTCCAGGGCATGGAGGCCATATATAGTGGTGCCAGCCGGCGTGAGTACGTCTGTCCGAAGCTGAGCAGGGTGCTGCCCTCCCTGCAGCAGCATCTTGGCTGTCCCCTGGAGAGAAGGGTATTGGGGCAGTGACTCAGAGGAGATAGGGCAGCCATATACAACCTCACTCTGGGTTTGTTGTCTTCCTGCCCATTACAGGTGGTCCAAGCCAGGACTCTTCTGACATTCTCATGGGGAACAATTCACTCACCAGCAAGGTCTGGGCAGCAATTCGGTGGGCCAGGCTACTGGGCATGCCCATCTTGATAGCACCTTCAGCCAAGGCCTCAGAGAACATGCACACCTATAACAGCAGCATGAGGAGTAGGGGGCCAATGTCAATATTCCATCTGGGCAAGGTGGAATACACCTGTAATGCTGGGTGGCTGAAGCAAGAGAATCACAAATTTAAGCCCAACTTGGGCAAGTTAGCAACTTAGATCCTATTTCAAAATAAACATGGACTGAGATATGGGTCAGTGCAAAAGCCCTGAGTTCAATCCCCATACCAAGGTGGGGGAAAAGCCAATATCCCCCTGGACACAGCACCCTGTCTGGAGAAGGCCCACAACCTTGAGGAGTAAGGCCAAGGCCATGACCAGGCACCTGTGGCCATGGTCAAAATTGTGCAAAGACCCTGGCCTCAAAGATCCACCAAAGCATGAGGTTTCCAGGGATGGCAGAGCTCATAGGTGGCCTGTGGATAAACCCTTGAGGCTCCAGAGCTCGAGTCTGAGGGTAAAGGCTATCACTGGAACTTGATGGGCCTGTCTTTCCTGAAGGCCTGCCTACCGGGGTTGAAGGGAAGACAATACTCACGAAGGCCACACCACTGCCACCGAGGGCAGTGTGGATGTCCACGTAGGCCTCAGGCACCTCTTCACACTGCCCACAGGCCTCTAGCAAGTTCTGCAGGAGTCTGGCTTCACTGTTTCCAGCATGGAGGCCCCGTGCCATCACCATGGCCCCCTCCTGGACTAAGCAAGGCAGGTTGGGTGATACCCGGAACACTCGTGTTTTGGGAGGCAATAGCTGACCAGAGAGAGGGTAGAATTAGGCAGTTTGTGGGATGAGGCTCTGCCAGGCCAACACACCTCAGCCAGCTACAGGCTCCCATCCTCACTTCCTAGGCACAATGGCCAGAGTGAGCCCTAAACTTAACCACTTAATCTAAGTGGGCTACCTGGCCGCTTCTGCAGGCTGGGTAGAAGGTTATCTGGAACCTGAAGCCAACCATCAGAGCCCATTCTGAGGTCAAAGTCTCATCTCTACAGGTCACTCACCTCCTCCAGGGTTCTCAGAGAGACTCCAGCAGCTACAGACACCAACATGTGTTCAGCAGTGACCACAGGGGCCACCTCTGTCAGGACAGCTTGTAGGACTTGAGGCTTGGTAGCAAAGATGACCAGTGAACACCTCTGCAGCACCTCTTGGTTGGAGTGGGTGGTCTGGCAGCCCAGAGCCTATATGGGGACCAGACCAGGGGCTGCATGAGGGGTGTTCTCCTATACCAGTTCTTTGTGTACAGGCCACCCTATACCCCATGCATCCCCCTCAGGCCTCTTGCACTGCAAGTATATGTGCCAAAGCCAAAGACTCAGCCAAAGAGCACTGTTCCTCTTACTCCCTAGCCTATTCTTCCTTGAGTCCTCTGTCCCAAAGAATGTCCATGCTATCCCTGCCTACCCCAGCACTGCAAGCATGTGTACACATTGGCACTCACTTGTGTCTGCTGGGTTCTTCCACAACCTTGACTTACTCCTGGCCTCTGATATTCCTTTCCCTTCCTCACCCCAGCCAAGACAGTCTCAAATCTCCACTAAATAGGCCAGACTCCCGGGTCCTACTAAGTGCCTCAGAGAAAGAAGCCACTCTGGTCCCTGCTCACCTGGAAGTGGCAAAGGTTCCTGTCTGTTGGTGCACTGGCCAGCACCTGCTGAGCTTCTACTTTGCCTGGAGAGAAAGGCAAAGCCAGAGAATAAGTGAGGGATTGGGAGCAAAGGGAAAAATCTTGCCTAGCTTCTCAGGCTCAGTCAAGATTGGCCATCTGTGATCTCTGCTGGACTGAGACACTGAAGGAACTTAAAGTAGGGTAGTTCATCCACATAGGGCAGACAATCAAATCCATTCAATGCTATTAGGCAGTAACTGCCACCTGCCTGCTGCTGGACAAAGGGCCTATATCTTACCTGGTCCTGTGAGGACACAGACCTCAGGAGTCCCTGCCTCCCAGAAAAAAACAGCTCCCTGTAGCACTTAGGCTTGTTGCCCAAGGAGTAGAATCCCAGAGAGAACACTGAGCCTGGAGGGTGGCATGGTGGGTACAAAAGCACTTGACAGAAGGCTCTATGGGGACCAAGTTCCTCTAAAAGACTAAGTATATTGAGATAGCCAAAGGTAGATTAAATGCCCACTTGGTGGAAATCATCTGTCTTTGTAAGGCAGGGGAAGGGGAGGTTGGTTTAGATATCTGTGACAGAAGTACGCACCAGAACCTGAACACAGGGTAGTTAATCATGTGCCAGTGACAGCCACACACCCAGGAGTGGGGTCAACACTCAGTACACATGCCAGGCATGATAACACACACCTGTAATACCAGCACTTGGGAGGGCAAGGCAGAATTTCTGAGAGTTCAAGGCCATCCTGGGATCAATAGGGTAGCCTGAACTACACAGCTTAAAAAAAAATTCTTTATGAGTGTCTGCATAGCCATGGGAAATATTTGGACACCTGAAACTTGCATTGAACTATCTTCTGCTTGAGTGTAACCCTCTGGATTTTGAAATGTGGCCAAAGACAGACAGCTAAAGGTCACAAGCCCTCACCTGTTTCTAAATACAGTGCAGTAGTATTAGAGTAGCATTAATATCTTCTGCTGTATACCAGGGGTCTTCACCTAAATGTTTTGGTCCTGACCACAACCCCACCACGCAGACACTTGGCAGTGTCTGGAGACACTTTGTTGCACCTTAGAGGTGCTACTGAGATGCCCTACAACACACAGGTTGAATTATCTGGCTCAGAATGTCCATAAAGCTGCTCACTACCAGGAGTGGAGCCGGTGAGCAAACAGAAAAAAAGAATCAGAGTTCAGAAAGGTCAACTTGACAGAGGTTGTAGAAACAGTAAGTCAACCATATTTGCTGGCACTAAGCCAACACTGTCCAACAGAAATATGATTGGGGGGGGGGAGATATATAGTTAGGGATACAGCTCAGTGCCAAAGTGCCTGACTTCAGTCCCTGGCAAGTGCAAGGTCCTGAGTTCAATCCCTAATACCAGGGGGGAAAAAAGGAAAGAAAGAAAAAGTGATTTGAAACTTTTGTAACTATACATTTTCTAGTACTCACATTAAAAAAAAAAAAAGAAATAACAGGTGAAGTTAATCCTAACTGTATTCAACCAATATATTCAAACTAGTACTTGTTCAACATGTAATCCATTAAAAAAAAAAAAAAGACGTCTGACTTTTTTTTTTCCAAACCTTCCAAATTCGAAATGTCCTTTATTCTCCTCACCTGCGTCCCACTGGACTAGCCCGTTTCACTTTCTAGCCGCTGAACTGCAGCAGCTCCGGACGCCCCACGCAGGTCCACGCCGTGCTTGGCCCTCTCTCTTCCAGTGGAAGGGCCGCCAACCCAGACGTGGGGTCGCAGGGACAGTGGGGACTCCCGGGACCATGCTGTCTGCGCCAGCCCAGGGTCTCTGTGGGTTCACCGCACCAACCCAGCGCGGGCCCGGAGCGCCCCTCCCGCCTGTCCAGTGTGTTCCTGCCTTAGCGGAGCCTCCCACCCAGGGCCCGCCACCCACCTGCTCGGATAAGGCCCTGCGCTATGGCCTGTGCCATACGGCCAGCGCCCACGAAGCCCACACGCTGCGGATTCGGGCCCGCAGCAGCCATAACGCTGGAGGTTCTTCAGCTACAGAATTGTGTCCCACCCCTCGCTGTTATTTGGCTGAGTTAACGGTCCTCCACCGCCTATTGGTGGAAAGAAACCTGCTGGTGGGGCTCACAACGTATCCAGTTGAGGGGCGGGTCGAAGCGAGGAAGCACTTGAATTGGTGTTGCGCGTAGCGATGCTACACAGCAGGATTCTGGAGGCTCCCAAGATGGTCAGACTGTGATTTTTCCAAGAGGAAGGGTCGCGAAGGGTGGGGAACTAGTCTTAAGCACTAGTCTGAGAAACCTGTGGCTGGAGTCGCCCCCAAAGCAGCACAGAGGTATTTCAACAAGGGAGTGCCCCAAACAGACCCAAGATGGGGCCGGTTGGGATTCCAAAAAAAGAAGCACCAAAGATAGAAGGTGGGGGTGGAAGCGACCCCACACTGTCTTTGATCCTTGATCCTAGATATCAGTGCACATCTAGTGCACATCTTGCTGAGCTAGCACACACTGATGACAGTTGGGCAACTGCAAATCTATGGGAAGGCAGGACAGGCAAACTCCAGGCTGGCTACCTATCATCAGGACTTACCAGGCCTGGGGAGGGGACCTTAACCACTCAGACCTATTCCGGGGGCGGGGTCAGAGGGAGAATGCCAAGGACAGTGTAGGAGAGACTGGGGGCTGCATTAGCAGATGACGGCAAGAGACCACAGGCTGTTCGGAGAGGAGCTCTGGGACAGAGGGAGGAGGCAACAGACTGCGAGAAAGTTCTAGCTATGAGGCTGTAAGAGATCATGAGTTGACAACCTTGGAAATTAGGGTCTCTGCTTTGCACAAATGGCACCCTGCACTCCCCACCTGGAGCTATCTTCACTATATCCTCTAATCCTACCAACCACTTCCACAGACTTCTGGGAGCAAACTGAATCCCTGCTCTTATAAGCTCCCAGGTAATCCTGATAGCTCAGTTCCCAGGCTGAAGGGAGATGAAAGGGACCTGTAGTCTTCATCCCTATGTCATTATAAAAGACAAAACCCAGTTGTCTTGGGATGGAATCAAGGTTCGTGAGGTTCACAGGTGGATGATCCAGAACTACAGTGAGACAAGCCAAGGAGCTCAATGCCACCTGCCCCATGGCACTTCAGCTCCACCAGCCCACCGCTCCTAAGCCTGTACCTCTGTGCTGCCTTTACTGCCTAGGGGACTCAGCCTCTGGGATTTTGCTGTTTCCTATTAAGACTGGGAAGGCCATGGTGCTCACTTCTCTGGTGGCTGGAGCTGACCTACAAGGTCAGGATGGGGTCCCAGGGAGGCCACACAAGCACCACCCCCCAGAGTATGTCCATATCCAGACCTGGCCTCTTTCCTCAATGTCCTCAGGGCAGAAGCAGAACCCAGGTAAACTCTGGTCACCCAATCCTCTGTTCAATCATGCCATGTGTCTACCTGGGACCACTGGAGATATGCCCTGTCCCATTTCATATCCCACTAACAGTTCATATGCAGTGTGTGCCCCGACTGCTCACATCACTAGCCTCTAGGCCCAGCAGCTCTCAGGGACTGAGCAAGTGCACAGTGCATCCTGGGGCTGGTCAGGGTGGGCAGACAGTGCTCAGTATGAGAGAGATGGGCACAAAGCTGCTGAGTCCAGACCTATGAAAATGCATTTTATTGAGTCCTAGACTCAGGACAGTGGGACCAGAGTGGACTAAGGCAGGGAGGGAGGTGCTGGGCCACCTGGGCCTTGTTTCCCTGAGGACAGACGGAACAGGGGTATTGCTGCCTGAAGCCCCCAGCAGAGGGGGTAGGATATGGGCCCGATTGTTGGGCAGTAACCTTGGCCCCTGACAAATTCTGAGGCCAGGGGCTGCTGGGTTTTGCCAGCTAAGCACCTGCTCCCCTCATGACTTCACTTCCGGGCCTGCTCGTAGTTGTTGGTGAACCAAGTGCAGGTTTCCTTGACAGCTGTGGGGAAGGCAGATGAAAGCCAGTAGACAGGTGAGAGATGGGAAAAGGCGAAGCAGGTGGAAGCCCCAGGGACACAAAGTCACCTCCCAAGTGGTACAGGCTCTGATGAGGGTCTAGTGACCAAGTCTGAGAGGCACTCCATCCCCACCCCACAGTAAGGGAGCTGAGGCCACAGTAGGGGACAGAAGAGGTGCAAAGGGGCAGGGCGGGCAAGAGGTCCGCAGGAGTGTGTCTAGGGCAGTACTATGGGAGAGCTAAGGCTCACCCTGCTTGAAGGGTGTGAACTGGAAGTTGGGCAGATAGGTCCGAAGCTTGCCATTGCTGGCTGTCTTCTTAAACTGCCCATCTGACTTCGTTGTATCAAACTGGGAAATTTGGTCAAGGCCACAGCAAAGGGAACACCCCTGCCACCACCCAGCCTTGAACCTCTGCCTCTGCCTGGGCAGACCCTCCGCCTACCCAGTAGCCAGAGGAAGCACTACCAGCAAATAAAATGCTGTTACTCAGTTGTCCTACATAGGGGGGCAAGCGCACAGTGCCCCTCTGTGGTGTCCTACCAACACCGAATCCCAGGAGGCAAAGGATACTGTGACTTCCCCATGAAAGCCCATGGCCTCCACCACAGCCTCGGCTGCTTCCTTGATGGAGACCTCATCTTCCTCACCCACTGTGGAGAGCAATGGGTCAGTGGCCAGTCAAGCCTCCTGCTCAGCCTCCCTCAGGTATTCCAGGACAGACACTGTCCTACACATTGTGAGGGTGCGCACCTGAGAGAATGATTGGCTCCACCTCGCTGTACTCTCGCAGGACCCAGATGAAGAGCCGGGCCAGGTCCTACAAGTGGGACAGGCAGGTCACAGCCCACAGTGATGACCAATGCCCCTGCTGGGGTGGCCACAACACTGTCTGCTCAGTCAGACCACAGCCAGGGCCCATCCTGGACAGGGTCCTTCCTCCAGGCAACTCTTTCTCCCACTGAGCCCGACTCAGCCTCCCTTCATGCTGTAGCCTCCCTGACAGTCCAACAGGCACCTTTTGGAGGAAGGGTTATGTTTCCCCTGTACACACCAGTGAGTAGATGAACTGTCTCCGTGGCTTCCCAGTGCCCCACACGGTCAGGGCTGAGCCGCTGCCTGAGGTTCAGGGGAAGGGCAGATGTCAGAAGACTCCAGCCAGGCCGGGTCCTCCCAGGAAAGCTGGGACCCGGTCAGGTGGAGACCCAGGCTGGGTGTGTGCTGGGTGGACACACTCACTCTTGGCCAGGTGCACCTTGTGGATGAGGCCAGGAAGCACATGGCCATCCTCGATGTTGAAGTTGTCATAAGGGCCAAAAACATTGGTGGGAATGACGGCGGTGAAGGTACAGCCGTGCTGCTGGAAGTACGCCCTGCAGCGGGACAGCAACTACTGTTCTCACTTGTCTTGAGCCTGCTGTGTCACCACTAGCCTCTTACAGATGCAAAACAAGGAGCATAAAAACCAGTGCCCACCCAGCTGATCCCACCCACATGTGGGATACCCACTCTCCCAGCCCAGCGTGGGCAGGATGCTGGAGGACCTGTTCTGCACGTCAATCATCCTCTTGGCATAAGAGTACCCAAAATTACTGCTGTGCGGAGGCCCATTGTGGATCTGTGGGAGCAGAAGCATTGAGGACTTCACATCCTGGTTCTGCCCACACCTCAGGTGCCACCCCCAGAAAGTTCCATCCCTCACCATGGTCTCATCGATGGGATAGGTAGTCTTATCAGGGAAGATACAGGTGGACAGGCAGGAGACCACCTTGCGGGTGCCCACCTCAAAGGCAGAATGCAGGACGTTGTCATTGATGTGTACATTCTTCCTCTGCAGGGGTAGAGCCAGGGCAATCAGACTGCCATGATAGGCCTGCTCTTCCAAGGACAGAGGCAGGGACAAACCTTGGCCCCCTGAACATAAGCAGTACTTGCACTTGTTTGTCCTGTACCCAGGATAAGACACAGCCTCCCAGTATAATCTTATAGAAACCACTACCCCCAAAAAGGTTGTAAGAGAGTTCTGTCTGCCACTCTCACAGAGCCTGCAGAGGCCAGGCAGATGGTAGATGAAAGAACCCAGGAAGCCCAATCTGGTTCTGGGTGGGGCTCCCACTTACATAGAAGCTCCACACCTAGCTCTTTTTCCCATGGCCTATATTAGCTCCCGTGGCTCCAGTTCACTTCCCTAAATCAATATGAGATAGCCAGGAAATTTGGACTGGTCTTGAGACAGGAAAGAGGAGAGAAGTGGTAGCCAGGCAGTATGCCGGAAAGGTTTATACAGAGAAAGAGGGCCTTGAGGGACAGGCTGTTGGTGGGAACCCCTGCTGATACCATTGCCTGGTACAGGCTGGCTAGGGACTAAGGCTACTGTCCAGAGGCAGGTGGGCCAACCACCTCACAGTCAGCAGGGGGAAAACTCTTTACATTATGCTCCCTTTCCTCAGGGCATGCATCACAGAAAACTGCATGCCAGAGTATGTGATGGATGAGGCTCAGAGAAGCATGGCCAGAACCATCCTGGAAGCCTGAGGCTCTGGCAGCCCAAGGAGTTCAGGATGCAAAAACCAGCACCAAAGATTATGGACACATGCTGGCTTCTTCAAGTTCACCAATCCTAGAGCCTTTGTGTGGAGCCACAGCTCCACAGCCTTTGTCTTGGAGGCACTGTAGGAGGCAAATGCCTCCAGGCCCATCTGCATGTCCTTCTGCCCACAGCAACATGTGTGGGCCAGTGGAAGCCTACCCCCAAGGGCTGCCTCCACCAACCCATGCCAAGTCAGGAACTTCCTGGGGTGGGAACATGAGCCTGTGAGAGCGGAAAGCCTACCAGGAAGTTCCCACCTCTTGGATCCCACAGCTTTTTGTCCCTTCAACTTACCCAGAAGTCCAAATTGTACTTGATATTCCGGAACAGGCCCCCCACCATTGCAGCAAGATGGATGACATGAGTGGGCTGGATTTTCTGGAACAGGGCTTTGGTCTGTGCTGCATCCCTGAGTGGGGAGCCAGACTGTCAAAGGCCACCGAAAGGCCTGAGGGAACTAGCAGTAGTGATAGGGATAGTGGGTATAGGAGTTGGGTGGGGCATGGCAGTAGAGACCGCTACAGAACAAGGCTAAACTCTGTGCCTAGTGGAAGGGAGGGTGTGGACTTCCGAGAAGGGACAGGAGAATGTTTACCCCGAGCACAACCAGCACAACCAGCACACCCAGGCCAGGCCTGCTACCTGGCAAGGAAGGCCTAGACTTGCGGCTATTGGCTTTTAAGTCTGGAGAGGGCATTGAGATGAGGGGTTGGGGAATTCTGAGGGTAGTCTCAACTCACGTGAGGTCTGCATCTTTGGAGGAGACAAACACCCATTCCTCTCCTGGCAGGCCGGCACCATCTGCAACCACCTTCTGAATGGCTCGGCCCACCAGTCCGGAGCCCCCTGTCACTAGGATCTTCATGTGCCCCTGAGGCTCACCCATGTTGGCCGCACCTGAAGGGTCACAGTGAGGTTGAGACTCTCCAGGTTCCATCCTCCAGCACCCTATTATCCTGGGGCAAGAGTCAACAGGCCACAAAGGCAAGCAGGCAGACCCAGCTGGATGTAGTCACCCAGGCTCCCACCCCTTTCTAGGAAGGTCTCTGTCTAGGATCGCCGCAGTGCCCTGGAGACTACCATCCATACGCACGACCCCACCAGACAGAAAAAAGATAAATTCTATGCTCTCCAACAGACCAGAGGGGAGGCACATAACTTGGAGATGGGGCGTCCCGATGAGATGTAGGGGCTGCTTCCAGCCAAAGCCCACAAGCTACAGACCGGCAAGGGGAGGTGCCGAGTTTTGCAGCCCTATTCATACTCGCCCAGACTGGTGCCCGAGAGCACTCGCCATCCTGATTCTTCCAAGACAGGTAGTCTGGCTGGCCGGACGGCCTTGGGTGCTGCCACCCTCGAGAACGCATCCTGGAAATCTGCACTGCTCCATCTGCAGAGCCCCCACCGTCAACCCGACAGGAGTTTCGCCCCACATTCCGCGTCCTCGACCACCCGGACTGACCAATAGCCACGGAGACCCTAAACCCAAGTGCCCACCCACGGCTCCGACCCCAGCTGCACGAGGGTTTTTGTCTCTGCGCCACGTCCCCAGGTTCCCCTGGCAGTGCCGTGCTGTCTCACCTGAGTCCGCCCCACCCGCCAGAAGAGCCGCTTCCGGTGCGGAGATGCTTCTCGCCCAGCGCTGGCCAGGTGGAGAGGCGGGGCTCGCCCGCGGCACTCTGGGAAATGGAGTTCTAGGCCTGTTCCGGTATGGCCCGTGCGCTTCTGGGAAACAGAGCCGGGAACGCGCAGCCACTGGGAAATGTAGTCGAAGCCACACTCTACTAGCTAGGAAATCGCTGGTCTTTTGTATCCGCTGGCCCGCCCGGAAATCATTATGCTGCATGCCAGAATTCCTGCGGGGGGCGCTGCGAAAAAGGGAGGGAGCGAAGAGGGCGGCGCGTGTCGCGTCTCCTGAGTCTGGAGCGGTGTAGGGCCTACCAACTGAGAGCTCTCTTGGAGATACCTGCTGTGCAAGGAAGCAGAGTTCCCTGCCAGGGGTCCTACTCGCTCCTGCCCTACTAGCCCGGGCCAAGCCCCTAAGCAACATGGTGAAGACACACGGGTAGTGGAGCGACTCTCTAGCATCCCGCCCCAAACTCCTCTGGTCAGGACCCCGCGCCTCGGTGCACACCTCCTTCCCTTCTTCCGGCTACGGCTTGTAGGGCGATTTTCCCCAAGAAGGGGGGACTCTGCGAAACGCAGCAGCGATACACAAACCTGGAGCAGGCTCGCCTTTCGGTGGCAAGCCTCCTGGTTGCTCAGCAGCACCTCTTTACATTACACTCGTTCAGAAAAGCCAAGCTCACCAGGTTTCAGATGGAAATGAGGACTCTGCTGGGGGAAATGGACTATTGTTAGAATGAAAAACGAATGCCCTCTCAGCCATGTTACATTCTGGCAAAAGATATGTTTATATTTTGTCCATGCTCTGAGACTTTGGTGGTGTCTACATGATGCTGAGGCTTTTTTTTCCCCCCAATTGTTTAAATTAGTATATGTTTGTGATGCATAGTAAATATATTCATCTTTGGGGAATTGGTACGTATGCATATTGCATCTTGATCCTTAATACTTGTCCTTTTCCACTCTCCTGTCTTCCCTAATCCTCAGATCGCTTTCCCATCTCAATTTTGTGCATTTCCGCTCTGATCCTTTTAATTTTATTTCTTTCCTTCTATTAGTTTCAGGTTTGAGTTTTTCTTGTTTTTAGGACCTTGAGTGAGATGCATCATTATTACTTATTTGGGCTTGCTCTATTCTTTTTATATGTGCATTTAGAGCTACTTACTTACCTCTTCGGACTGCTTTTGTTGCATCCCATAGACTTTGGCGGTTGTGTGGCTTTTTTTTCCTTTTTTTCCTTTTCCCTCTTGTACCAAGGATCCAATTCACGACCTTGCACTCGCCAGGTGGGCGCTTACAGCACTGAGCTAAATCCTCAACCCCTGTTCTGTGGCCTTTTTGCTGTTGATATTTAGCTTCATTGTACTATGATAGTATGTATCATACTATCATATTATTTCAAATCTTTCGTATTTATTTAAGTATGCTTTGTGGCCTATGATATGGTTTGTTTTGGAAAAAAATTCATGTGCTGTTAAGAAAAATGCATTCTGTTGTTGAATAAAACACTGTAGATACCTGTTAAGTCCATTTTTTTCATGGTTTGATTTAACTCTAATTTTGGGGGGGGTCTGGTTGATCTAATTGTAACAGTGGTCTACTGAAGACACTATGATTGTACTGGTAACTATTGGCTCAGGTCTAATAGTTTTGTTTTATGAAGATAAAGATGCCAACATTTGATGCATATATGTTTACAATTGTTACCTCTTCTGTTGAATTGTTCCCATTACTAATATGTAGTGGCTATCTTTGTGTCTACTGATCAATTTTGGCTGGAAGTCTGCTGTATCAGAAAATAAAGATAGCCATTGCTGTTTGTTTTGGGGCAGTTGAATGGAATATCATTTTCTATCTTTTTACTTTTAGTGTGTGTACTGGCCTTTGGATGAGGTGTGTGTTCTGCAGGCAATATAGGGGGTTTTTTTGTTTTGTTTTTTTGTTTTGGTACCAGGGATTGAACACACGACCTTGTGCTTTGCTTTACTTCATCAATTTTGAAGACTAATTTTGCAGCCTAGATTAGCCATATATAACTGTAATTCCAACACTCAGGAGGCTGAGGCAGAAAGGTTGCTGAGTTCAAGACCAGGCTGGATTATATAGTGAGTTCAAGGCCAGTGTGAACTACATAGTGACACCCTGCCTCAAAAACAAAACAAAAACAACAACAACAGAAAAGCAAAGCCAAAAAACTAAAATTAAATAAATAAAAATCTAGGACATACATTGATAATTGTTTTCTTTGAGGGCTTGAAAAATTTTGCTCCACGGTCTCCTGACCTGTAAGATTTGTTCTGAGAACCAGAAGTTTTTCTGATGGACTTGCCTTCATAGGTACCTTGTTGTTTTTTTCTAACAGCATTTGGTATTCTCTCCTTTCGTTGCATTTCTGGAGTTTTGATTGGAGTTTTGATCAGAGTTTTGATGTGTTATGGAGAAGTTATTTTCTGCTCATGGCTATGTGGTCCTGTATTCCTCTTGTACTTATTCTTGTCTTAGATTTGGAAAAATTTCTGCTGTGATTTCAGTAAATAAATTTTTATACCTTCTGAGTCATCCTCTAATTTTTCCCTTTATTTCTGTATTTCTGAGGTTCTTAATTATTTATTTTATCTTTTTTTTTTTTTTTTTTTTTTTTTTGTCTTTTTCATTTTTATCGGTACCAGGGATCAAACTCATGACCGCCTGCTTGCAAGGCAGATGCTTATGCCACTGAGCTAAATCCCCAGCCCTATTTTTATCTTTTGAGACAGGTTTTTCCAATGCAGTTCAGGCTGAACTTGAACTCATTTTGTAGCCCAGGCTAGCTCAAACTCATGCCTGTCCTCCTGTCTCAGCTTCCTAAGTGCTGGGATTATACCAACATGCCAGGCTTGAGGGTTGTTTTGTTTGTTTTGTTTTGTTTTTTGGTGAGTCATTTAATAGCTATTTGGTATCTTGTTTTTAGGCTATCATTGAGCTTATAATCTACTAAACTGACCTTGTTTTCTATTTCTGGAGCTGTGCCCTCACATTGGTCAAGTCTGCTGCTCATTAACTATTATTCTGTTACCAAAACCAGAGAAGGTTCCAACCAAAAAAGAGAACTACAGGCCAATCTCTCTAATGAACATAAACACAAAAAACTCCAAAAAAAAAAAAAATACTAGCAACCAAAATGGGGCAAATCAGGGGCTGGAGATGCAGCACAGCAGCACAGCAGCTGTCTGGCAAGTGTGAGGCCCTAAGTTTGAGAGAATGTGGCAAATAAAGAAGATTATACTAAAAAAAACAAAAAGATTATACACAGTGACCAAATACAATTCATCCCAGGGATGCAGGGATGGTTCACCTTATGCAAATCAATTAATTCAAATGACAATTAATGGGGCTGGGGATTTAGCTCAGCGGCATAAGCATAAGCGCCTGCCTTGCAAGCAGGCAGTCCTGAGTTTGATCCCTGGTACCGATAAAAAGGAAAAAGACAAAAACAACAACAAAAAACAAATGGCAATTAAACTTAACATAAGTAGTATAACACACATAATTCAAATAGAATGAAGAACTATCCCAACTTGATACAAATGAAAGCAAAGACAGCTGCAGTATGACTGCCACCTGGCTGAAGCAACTGAAAATGTCATCAATTGCAAGAAACACTGCCATTACTGTTAAACCTTCTAAGGTTAATGACGAAATTCTTAGAGAAAAATAGAGATAGGATGAGATTTCAACCTGAAGGCCAGCCTGGGTAACTTAATGAGATCTTGTCTCAAAATATAAATTAAATAAATAACCAAACAACCAACCACAGCTGGAGATTTAGCTCAGCACTAAAGCACTTGGCCTTCATTTGGGTTCAATTCTTAGTGCCACCAAAACAAAACAAAACAAAACAAAAAAACCCAAAAGCATTAAAAGTAGATCAACCGGGGCTGGGGATTTAGCTCAGCGGCATAAGCGCCTGCCTTGCAAGCAGGTGGTCGTGAGTTCATCGCCTGGTACCGATAAAAACCGAAAAAGACAAAAAAAAAAAAAAAAAAAAAGGGTATTAAAAAAAAAAAGTAGATCAACCCTCAACCTCTCATCTGTTCCCAAATACCAACTGTCAAAGATACTATCAGCAGACATTTACTGTGTGGCCACCACATAAGCATACCAGGGAAAGGCTACAGGTCAGGGTAGAAAGGACTGTACAGTTTACTGGTGATAGTTATGAAAGGCCTCAAGCACAGAGCATGTGCTTTAAGGAAACAAAACTAACTTGGGGAGTCTCATTTTAGTGCACCTCATTTCATCACTAACTCTGTTATTATCATATACTATAGCATTTCCCCAGGTCATAAAGATTGAGTTCATCATGTCAATAATACTCTTATTTTTGGGCTGGGGATTTAGCTCAGCAGCATAAGCGCCTGCCTTGCAAGCAGGCAGTCGTGAGTTCGATCCCCAGTACCGATAAAAAAAAGAAAAAGACAAAAAAAACCTCTTATTTTCTAAAGCCAAATAAAGAACTAACTGTAAGAAAAGGTGGGTTTTCAAGCAATAGTTTATGGAAGAAAAAATGCTAAAATCTGCTCCTTGGGACATCAAAAAGTACCATAACATAGTAAGTGGAAACTTTCATACATATTCTTTAAGAAACACAATTTATGATTGAAATTAAGCCTTAAATTCAGTGAAGCAAACTTTAATTATTTACTGCACACATCCTCATTTCTAGTAGTTTAAAACATAATCATACCTTATTATTATAGCTGATAAGGCTGAGCATGGTAGCACACATCTATAATCCCAGCACTCAAGAGGCTGAAGAAGGAGCACTGTTACAAGTTCAAGACCAGCCTAGGCTA